TCAGCTTTCAATAAAATCAGCTGTGCTGAAGCAAGAAAACCTCTAAAACCTGGAGGACAGCGGCCCTCCAGGACGGAGTTTGGGGATGCCTGGTCTACAGGAACATCTTTGCAGAGCATGGGCTGGAAACCCCAAGGTCAAAGTGAGAAACACCCCCAAAGAGACGGTAGAGATTTAACTGGGCCAAGATCCTGTAGGACCTCCAGATACAGATGGACCAAATGGTATTGTCATACCAACCGGACATTCTGGTCGTGGATAAAAGCAGAGGAAAGCCGTTGTGGTTGACATAGCAATTTCAAGTAACTGCAAAATCAGGAAAAAGGAAGGCGAGAAACTAGAGAAATACCAGAGGCTCAGAGAAGAACTAGAGAAAACCTGGAGGGTCAAGGCATCAGTGGTACCTGTGATCATTGGGGCACTCGGGGCAGTGACCTCCTAACTTGAGGAGTGTTTTTATATATATATATATATATATATATATATATATATATATATATATATATATATATATATATATATATATATATATATATATATATGTGCTTTACACATTAAATTTGAAATGTGGTTGAGTGCATCAGCATTTTTCAAAAGGTCCAACAAAGCTGTATCAGTCTACAGGAATAATGGTTCCTTTGGCATTCTGTCTTCCTACTCAACTAAAATGAGAGGCTTATGCTCACTAGTTTTATATGAATGTTATATCTCCACGATACACTGTGAACAGTTACAATCAGTAACACTTACAAGTTACTGATTATTTTTATTTTAAGGTTTTTGCACTGGAATGGCAGTAAATGTGGAGAGTGTTGTGTTTACACCAGATGTAAAATATTTCAGTCATAACTCTAAGAGATAGGTGGAAAAAGCAAAGTCCTGATACAGGAGTGCAGTGGGCACTCAAAGTCCACATGCCCCTGTGACATAACCTGGAAAGCAATGAGAAACAATAAGCTCTAAGTGATCTATAACTTGTACAAACCAATGAGAAAACAAACAGAATTGTTTCTGTTTCTTAAAGCCAAATTATCTTAATATATATTAATGCATTAGCATCTTCTGTATACATTCTTCTCTAAGAATACCCCAACAATTACAGCCAGGGTTCAGGTTAGAGCTAAGACCGGACCATTTCAATAGTCTAGTGTTATTTTTCTTTAAAGATGAAGTTCTCAGTTTATCTCCAGTTTTCTAGCAGATTTTTTTTCTAGCAAGATGGGAATTTTAAATAGTTTAAATATGCCTTTACCTTATTTAAGAGCCAGGTTTCCTAACGCATGATGCTGCCACCACCATGCTGTACTGCAGGGTTCTGTTCGGTGACTGGTTTGAGACCCTGCTCTGTTTGTTTCAGTAGTTATGTTCCTGACTAATGAGACAATAGATTCTTAATACAATCTTGATTTTTCAAAAAAATATTTTAAAAAAGCCCTTTTTTAGGGCTGTGTGAGCTAGCATAGTATATATCAAGAAGAGGTAGAAATGGAGTCAATCTCTTCGTCAGTTGGAGAACATTTGTCAGAAACTGCTCTTGGACAAGATTATTCACCCGCTTTGCTTGCTGTTGATGGTCAGAAGGCTAGGTGGAATTGATTATATCACAGCTTTTCTTACTTTAATCTGCCATAGATCAGCTTTGGCTACAATGCAGCTTACTTTGAGTTATGAATGGATAAATGACTGAATGTAGTGCATCAAGTGAAAGGACTCCAATGTGGTATACAACCACCGACCATTTAGAATGCTCCCATTGGGCATTGTGTTCTTTGTATGATGTAAGCCTGATTTAAGTTGTTTTTACTCTAAACGCCTCTTTGATGGACATGGAAAGAAGGGACAGACAAGACTATTTCTTAAGGAAGTCCTTTACTGCTTGCAGTTAGTTGCTGCATATGTTCTATAGGTCTAATGTGGAGTTTGTGATCTCTGCTAGTATAATTTGCTGGGGTAACATCATCAGAGCAAATAACTTTAAAAAAAAAAAGCTAAACAGGCTGATAAAGAAGGCAATCAAAAATTTTGAGATCATTTGGCTATAAGGAACAGAAACTATTATATTTGTTTTCTAATTGGTTTGTACAGGAACTCCTCTGTAAATCCTCACAAAGAAGAATTCTTCATACAATAAATTAAATTATGGACAACAGTGAGCATCATCTTTAGAAGATTGTTAAACAACAAGAGAGTGTCTTCAGTAAGAGGTTTCTGCTGATCCATTGAACGACAAAAGCTCCTTCCTGCCTGCATGTATTCACATCTACAGCAAATCAATTAAAAGAACAGTAAACTAGAATGTACAGCAACATTTAATACCCCTTTGGGATCAGTGAAGTATTTTTGAATTTAATTGAGTTTAAATTAATTGAGTCCGCAATGAATGTACTGGCAGTGTATTGTGAGATTGAGTGTGAGAGCATCACTGCAGTTTGCAGAACCTTGGAAGAGACGTCTGTTCTAGGTGTTCGAAAGGATGTGACAGTATCCAGATTGTACCTCTAGTTTTCACCCTGTGGAGTTTTATACTTATTTCTTCAGGGAGACACCAAGCGGCAAAGCAAGGCAGTGACGTCACAATAGGTGATGTGGAAACAACCTTTGGCTGGCTTGATCTGGTACAGAGACGTCAGAGAACCTGTTAGTAATGAATCCAGACGGTTTAGACCGGCAATAAGAGATCAAAGTACCTGTCTAAGGGCTTGGCAAAACCCAGACATCAGGGTGCAGAAAGAAGGTTGTTGTCCAGAGATCAAAACCTTGGTAGAAGTCAGAGAAGGGTGAGGCAAGGCAGGAGGATCCATGGCACAGTTATGCAGTTATAACGAGGAGCTCAAACAACAGCAAGGAAGGAAAGAGGGACATTTGCAACAAAGTGTTTTATTAGACTTGAAAGCTGGAGAGTGCTTAAAAAAATTGATCGCAAGTGTGGAAAATGTCACTGATTTCAGTAGGAGAGCTGAGCATGGCAAAGTTGAGAACAGGCAGGCATCAAACTCTAACACTTCTAAGGGTAGTAGAATACTGGTAATAAGCCCACCAGCAAAACCTCTGGGAAAAAGTTTAATTGAAGATGGAATCATTGATCCAAGGAGTGAATCCTGCAAAGACAACACTGTGGCCACTCCTATTAGGTGATTTGTTGTTACCACATGTCTGTATATATTAATTATAACCATAACTTATTTTAAAGAGCACATATTTATAAATATGCACAGCTTTAGCAAGGGCCTGGTGAAAATATGGTCGAAAAATATAGATTTTGTGGACATTTATTTTCCTGTTGGTTCATTGTGATCAGCATAGATTAACTGGTTTCAGTTTAGTTTAGTTTTAAGCCACCTCAACCTAAGAACATTTTTGTAACTGTCATTGTTGCTTTTTTTCTGTCACCCTCATCAAACGGTAAAAATTAAGTCTTCGATATATTCGTACAAGAAGATCCAAATAAGCTAATCGAAGTAAACCAACCTAACTCTAACCAAGCACTTTCCTTTGTTCATTAAATTAAGATTTTAGAAACATTAATAGAGCATTTTTCTTATACATTGTAAGCTGGTCTTAATGGAATAGATACTGGCCACAAGGAAAGTGATTAGTCAATGAATACACCAGACTTTATTCCTTTACTTTCTTTATTGTTGTTTTCTTTACTTCATTCAATATGTTATGTCTATAACTTTTCTCTGAACTTGTCTACCAAAAATATTGCTCTTGTCATGTTATATATCAAAACATGACCTTTGTATTTTCTCATTTATTTAAGAATTTGACTGTGTAACTGAAAAAAAAGTTTTTTTCCGACCCACTGATACTCAGAAAAGAAAAGGGGGATGATTTAAGACTTAAAGGCTAGAGGTCTCAAACTAAAAATCCTGAGACCTGTATCCCCCTAAGCCTTAAATCCAGATCAGTAAATTCCTGCTAAAGATCTGATCTTTTGATTTACTTGTTTTGAATTAAAAAAATCTAATTGTTGTTGACCCTTGTGAAATGCAGTTTAGGAATCCTGTTTTACTTTAAATAAAACACCCAGTGTGGGTCTGTGAAGATCCAAACAAAGTAACAATATCTATTAACACAATCAATCTGGTTCCCTATCTGCATTTTTTATTCTAAAGAAGTTCAACTGTGCCTTGAGAGGTAAGGTTACGTCGATGCTGCTGTGTTGGTCTTAAACGATCTTTAACGAGCGAGTCCTGTCTAGCCGCTGGGCTCGTTAAGAGGGGTTTTCTGATTATCACCATGGAGACCCAGAGCTGATGTACTGAGCCCTCCTTCACTGAGTCTTGCTGTTCTTGAATCAAACTAGACCCTGAAGCCGTTTTTGGTGACCGGCAGTGTGTGTTTGTGACACAACAAGGCTAGATGAGAGTACATGAGAGTCACGACATGAGAACAGCTTCGAAATACTAGGATCTTAAAGCAGCAGAAAAAACATTGGAAAATCAAATGATCATGAGGAGACACAGACATGCTATAAATTAGATATTGAAAATAAATACCAAGCCAAAAACCTTTAAAAACACAAAGAGTAATTTAACAGACACACACTTTATTAATGTATTGAAATTAATAGTAAAAAGAAAGTTGTATTTTCTGTAAAGACAATTTTTTTAAGAACTCAAAATCATCTCAAAAAGAGATGAAGTGCTGGTAACAATTTAGAATCACAATGAGACACAAAGTCACTCCAAAGACAAGCACATCTATGAGTAAGCCCTCGAAATTGTACAAAAAGAGACAAAGGAATAGAATAGTCGCAACGATTTTCAGAGTTCATAAACTTAAAGTCACAGACAGAAAAAAAAGGACAGAATAAAGGAAAAAGCAAACTAAATCAAACTTTACAGATTCTGCTTTCAGGTCGCTTTTCTTCCACTTGCTAAAAGTACAGAAAATAAACTTTCATTCCAGGCTGAAGGTTTCTGTTTCTTTACCCCATGATAAAAATGATCTTCCCTCTCCTTCTTTCATTAAAGTCACTTTACTTTATTCGGCAGTGGTGTATGTGTGCAGCCCCATGGACATCTTCAGGAATCTGATGGTCCAGTTGTGGAAGGATAGCACCGACCTGGAGAAGTTTGTCTTCTTCTACATTGATCTTTTTGCTGAAGGCTTGGGTGGCAGACATACAGCAAAGCCCTGGTACAGAGGAGATCAGGACGACCAAGCAGCCAAACAGGCCTTCAAGGTAAAACATTATCCAGTTCTTTTTTTTTTTTTGTCTAGTTTTTCAGAATTACATGTTAGATTGTTTCCAAGACGATTAGTTAAGTGACTAAAGTGAAATAAACAGTTTTATTATAGCTGGAGGTTTTCTTTGCTGTATCAACTTTTGTTCTTTGCAGTATAAAAAGATCATCTGCTTGTAAAAGCGTCTTTACATACTATAACTCGAAGTCATTGTTTTCCATCTCAAAGTATCAGCTTTTTTTTTGACCAAGCTCTTCTGTTCAGCATGTCTTCAGTTCATTGACCTTTCCAGACATGTACAGTTTGTTTCTGCATGACTCTCCTACAGTTCTTTCATAATCTTTTAGTTTAGGCCATTGCAACATATTGAGGACTTTGCTTTTCAGACGTCCTGTTGTAGATTTGCACCTTTGTTTAGGATCGTTAATATGTTGATGACCCAGTTTCAACCGACCTCCATTGTTCAGCCCCAAGGCCTCACAGATGACTCTGGTTATGATGTGGTATACAGATCAGCTCAATGCTGACTCAGCAACTATGAGGTGTAGTGGGTGTAAAGCAAGCCCACATCATCCTCCCTCCACTGGGACTGACAGGAGGTGTGAGTTGTTTGATATGCACTTTAAAATAAAGAAATGTTGGCAGAGGTCAAAATTTTAAGGCAGAAAACTTCAACAAATGTTTAATTTAAGGGCTTCAGCCTGATCATCCAGTTCTTCTTTTGGAATTGCCAAACTATGAATTCTGAGTTTTTGTAACCAAGAATTACTCTGCAAAAGCAATCTAGAAATCAGTAGAAAATGTCTTATATTAAATGTATTTACCCTTAATTTGAGCAGATATATAAGATGATCTCCAATTGGAATGAGTATTTTTACTCTTAGAATAAGTTAATTAGATAAAATGCACTAGATATAAGATAAAATAATAGTTTTTTCTTATTTTAAATGTAAATGATCTTTTTACATTGGTAAAGTATCTCACTTAACTCCTCAAATAAAGAAAAAGCACACTTATTTTAAAAAGAAAATTATTTATTTAGATTTCAATTTTTGCAGTAGGCTGCAATCCTGTATCTTTTCAGCTCATCTATAAGTACTGGTGACCAAGAACTTAATGTTACACAAACCAAAAAATATAAAATTAGGACTTTGCATTTTAATCCATCCTTTTTTTTTTTTTTTTTTTTTTTTACATGCACTGGTGGCTCCTGGGAAGTAATCTGGAATTAGAGTTCTTACTCAGGGACCCAAAGTTATAGTGTGAGTTTTGAACCAGCAACGATTCCTGTTTTTCCATGCATCTCCTCCTCTCTAACCACTTTATAATTAATTAATTGAATAATAGAACACTAACATCTGTAAATCCAGACAACTGCTAAACAAACTACGAGTTGATGTAATTTGAATAAGAAATAAGAAGCTTTATTGTTTTCAAACAGAAGGTGCAAATACATTTCAATTGACAGTATCTCTTTAGCAGATGATTTTATTAGTATGAATGCCTCTACCTCAAAAGCTAACTTTAAAGTTGGTTTTTGTTGTTGTTTCAAAGTGAAAGCACTAAATAGCAGCACTTTCTCCTGTCACAATGATCCTCAACCAACAAACCAGTAAAACATTTTAGTTACAACCTTGGTTTTCTGGACTTAAAATTATTGTCCCTAATACGTCACTTTTTCAGGTTCTCACAGCTTGAAAAGTTTCCCAAAAAAGGAAGACTTTCTTTTCCAGGGTACATTGTCCAGTTTTCCACAGTAGTTCTAGTTAAACATCTTTATTCTGGTCTCAATCTGAACAAATGTTTTAATTTTATAAATGCAGTGGTTTGTTGATGATCTGACCTTGCTGTGGTTTTAACTTCTTTTAGCTTTGCAGGATCTAACTTTGTCTTACAGGAGTGTCCAATCCTGAGGGGTTTGATTGTGGTTTTTAATGTTTGTTTTTTCATTTTGAATAAAAGGTATTGCTGCAGAATTAGAGGCTTTAAATGTCTTTAATTAGACTTTATGACCTTTCCTATCTTGATTTGCTGTAACAGTTGGTGTTTTCTAACTTGGTATTATCTTAACAGACCTGTTTATGCTCCAGATCAATTTATCACACGATTTGATTATCCACACCTTGCTGCTGCTGAGCCTCTTAAAGCAGCAACAGTTTCCTTTGTTTGTTTTCCCTCCAATTGTGTGACGGTAATGGAAACTTCCTTTTCCTCCAGGCTGTATATAAAGCATCACAGACTTGACTGACTGGTTTGCCATTCATCAATATACATATATATGTCTCTTGTCAGAGTGTGAAGGTCTTGAGCTACATGGAGCCTCAGAGTCCAGAATATTTCCAGTTTGTAGAAGCTCTTAAAAGAGATGCAAAGGAAAGCTTCAACTTCACCATAAAAGACTCTCTGGTAAATACATTCATTATAATTTATTCATGCAAGTTGATGGCCAGCAGACATAGTGTGTTAACATGATGTGTCTATGTGCCAGCACAACCTGATTGCAGCAGGTTTCTATGATGGAATCTTGCTGTACTCTCTGGCTCTAAATGAGACTTTGAGCGAGCAGAGAAGGGGACCAGGACACATCGAGAGACCCAAAGGAGATTTGGTGACCCGTAGGATGTGGAACAGGACCTTCTCAGGTGATTTTTCTCCTTTTTCATGTGCACCGCTTCTGTATGGAGCTGGCGGTCAGATAGGAATGCGCTGTCAGTGGTGAACCAATCAGACCACAGTTTTGGATGAGAACAGCCTGCTTTGAAAATCTGTGTTATTAATCAGAGAACCGCACAAAGCAAAAAGCATCCATCTTATTTTCTGCTCTGTGTTGAAATACAGCTGCTCTCGACTGGAGTAAAACAAAAACTGATAGGTGTTTAATAAACGTTGGGTCTGATCTGTGCAGATTCCAAAAAGGTGAGCTTCTGCGTGTGCAATAATTGGGCATGTTGCAGATGATTGACAAAGATTGCTCTGGAAATCCACAAGAAATCCTGTTTGGTTCTGCCCCAATGAGATGAGCAGATTGCAGGTTCTACATGTAATAATTGTTACATTAGATTTATTTATTTATAAAAATAAAAGAAGAGGACAATTCATATTATTGAACATTAAACAATGTAAATATGCCAGATTATAGCATTAGGCTAGTTTCCATCTGCATTCCTCCCGTCAGGTTGATGTCACAGACAAATTAGATATTTGCAACAAAGACAGACACAGATACCATAAACTACATCATAGTTAGTACATACAAACAAACAGTCAATGCCTTTTTGTTGTTAGAGGTTATTATGACATTCCCTTGCAGAAATGTAAAAATACATAACAGAACCTTGTAACTTTAAGAAACATCTTGATGTATTGATACGTAGAGCCAATCTGCAAGTAATTCTGTCTTAATGTGTTCAGATTCTACAAATTCTACACCACTTGTAATGAACTTCAGCATAAAAATGCCCAAAAAAGAAAAGCTGTTTTGATTATTTATTATAAAAAAAAATGGGGGAAAAAAACTGAGAAGTTTTTTATTCTTCTGACATTTTCACCATAGAATAGAGGTTTAAGGTTGAATCTATAACCACAGAGAAAACGCAACTCAATAAGATTTGTGATATCATCCTACTGAACAACTTGGCCAAATGGCAATAACCAGTGCCTTAATAAAATTTATAAACTACAGATAATATCTGCTCTGAGTTTCCAACATTTGTGGGATAACATGTAAAATCTCCAAAACAGTCCTAAGGGCTGCTATCTAAATTGTATTTCAAGAGAGAAAAACAGCAACAGAAAATTACAAAGATAAGCTGAACCAAAAAGAACAAGAAACTATCAAATGTAGTGGAGTAGAAATTACCTCCAAGAATAATTACCCAAGGAAAGTACTCAAAAAAGTACTTAAGTACTATAATTAGGTAAATGTACTTTGTTACTTTCCACCACTGTATAAAGATAAAGATATGCATTTAAGAACCATTATAGAGAGTTGTATTGTTGAATTATTATGTGTTATCAAAGAGAAACACTCATTCAAAATGATAGGAGCACGTGAAATTTAAAAGTTTAGGATCTAAAACTGAGCCATGTGGAACTCTATGAGCCATTGTCATTTAATAGTTTCCCAAGCTTATAAAAATGTTTTCTTTTGGGAATTTCCTCTAATCTTCTTCCATTCCTTCTATTTTAACATGCAATTACATTTTGTAGTGTGTGAACAAAAAAACCCTGGAGACCGATGATCTTGTATTTTATTCAAGGTTCAGTCCAGTAATTGCAAAATGATTGCTTGCATAAGTTTTGATTAATGTTCTCAGATGAAACCTTGATCTGAAAAAAACATCAGTACTAAATCTGACTGTAGTCCTCAACCGGTATAAAAACAGGTTAATGGGTCAGAACTTACTCCAGCTTAATGTTGATGAAAGATTTGTTCCTTTAACCAGAATAAAGGTGTGACAAACATCCGGAAACCCAAAAATATAAAATTCAGAGTTATAAGTGTAATGACAGTATGCTTATCTTCTAACAGATTTAATAATTTCTGTTTTGTTGCTTTAATTAGAGCTGTGTTTATTTCTTTTAAAAGATTTTTAAATATTCCAACTAAAAGATTATTAAAGCCAAAGTCTCCCACATTAGCAAAGAAATAAAATAATTAATTTTACAAACACCTTTGGCATCATTTTAAGCAGATGCATACTAACATCGTGGTAACATTACTAATTCATTTAGGGATTAGTGATGTTTAAGTGGTGTAAAACTGAGCTTAAACCGAAAAAACTCCTTTTAAAGCCTGAGGTTGGCTCAGTCCATTCTGAGTGAAACCAGCTTCACTCTCCCAGCCATCAATCATACAGTTGATTAACAAACGAGCCCCCAAGACCTATCAGGAGCCCCATAGCTCTTCGGAGGTCAGCTTGGGAATCTGAGCCTGACGGACGCCCACATTCTCACGGCAGTGATGTGTGTCAGTGGGGAGTTGGCGTGCTAGTGGAAAGCTGCGGCGTAAATTTGTACCAGCTGGCAGCGACACTGGGAACAGGATGTCTAAGGCCCAAACCAACAACCAGGGCAGGAAAGTCACACCGCAAAGAAATTTAAAAGGAAAGTTTCAATTTACTCTGTTCAATCATTCAGCCTTCATTGGGCATAAAGCACACAGATTCAGGAAGGCTGTTTTGTTGTTTGTCTTTGAGAACCTGAAAAGTCAGGCAGACCCAGATCCAGACCAAATGCTGAGGTAAAGTTTCAGGGCTGGCCGCCTTACATTGTTAACACACAGGAAGTCGTATGTCATTTATCAGACCTCCTAACAGCTTCAGGAAAAGGTTTGCAAGTGTAAAAACAAAGACGAAATGGTTTTGCCTAATTTTACCGCTGACAGTGTTGACTCAGGAAAGCCAAGGACGTGTGTGTGTGTTGTTTACAGCTGGATCAATTATTTTACCTTTTTTCAACTAAGTACTATGAAAGCTGAAGGCTCACCTATCCGGGGGGTCCCTTTAAATTGATCATGTTTATCATCCCCTCGTGTCAATAACTTTTAAAAAATACAAATTTAAGGTGATGTATTCACAAAAACATGTGACAAAGTCTTAGTAATACTCAATAAAATGTTAGATTACAGATCTGGACATGAGTCATTTCTGGTTAAACCAGCTCGCTAATTCTAACATAAACATGCTCTGTCATATCCCCTGATCTCTATTTATTCCCTGGATTGCTGATAGCCCAAAAAAGGTGAAGCCACCGGCCGTCATATTGGTACTCCCCACTCCCACAGAGACGCATGCGCCATAGAAATGCATACGTGTGTAGCCTTTGGATGCAAAAACAAGCAGTTTGCTGGCTGTGGGAAGATGTTTCACAGGTAATTTCACAGTCAGTGGATGTACTAACCAGGAAAATCCATATATACGCTAATGCAGCGTAACATTAGTCTGGCTATCTCGGACTGACTCGAAGATATTGACTTAACCATTGACATTGTGTCTAATGTTAGAAATTAAGAGTAAATAGAAACAAATTCACTGTAAAATATATCAATGTAGCAATTCTTTATTAAGTTGATGACGCTGTCGTTTTTGTAGTGTTTGGTATATTTCTCTAGCCTGGGTTCTCTCCGGGTACTCCGGCTTCCTCTCAATGTCCAAAAACATGACTGGTTATTTGGCTTCTCTAAATTCTCCTTAGGTGTGAGTTTATATGTGAATGGTTGTTTGTCCTGTTTGTCCCTGTAATGCCCTGTGATAGACTGGCGAACTGTCCGGGGTGGACAGCTGGAGATAGGCACCAGCACCCCTCACGACCCCAGCAGGGATTAGCGTAACTCAAAAAGAAAGGATGGTATATTTCTCATTTGAAAAAGTCATGTGCTGAAATATAATGCATGTTACAACATATTGAGGGATAAAAAAGAAACTCAAACATTTTTAAAGGCTAATTCACTGGCGCAGCATAAAATTATGTAGCATCATTCATGCACAGTTTGCAAATAGGAAAATACTATAGCATTAACATACATGTACTTGTAATTCAGCCTTAAAAGTATATGTGATATGTAATTACCATGTCAATGTCATCAATACATGTATATTACACGTATATGATCAATTTAGCACATTTGGCACATCTGTAATATTATGCTCCATTAACACATACATTTTGTTGTGATGGATTTGTATAATATGTCATATTACCGGTACATGATTTATAGACTTAATTGACTTCATACTGACTATGCAATGTGATGTGCCTATTTTGTAATCTTGAATTACGGTAATCAACTTATGCTATGAAACAGCAAATGTGTGTCCAGGTGGTGAATTTATGTAGGCTATATTTTAAAAGTCTTAATCCCCCTGAAAATGAGAACATCATCCTTGTTCGATGCTGTAGTGTGTGTATTGTTTACATAGCGACCTACCAATATGGCAGCCGGTGGCTCAACTCCACCCCGTACTACCAATGGGCCATCAAAAATCCAGTGAATAAATAGAGATCAGTGGTCATATCAGGCCTCAGGAAGTTATACTCATGAGGATATTAGTATATCGCCCACATGTCCAATAATAGAAACTCTTTAAATTGCAGTATTTCTTGATCCACTAATGGGCTTCAACATATGACACAAATAGCATATAGGAGCTTTGTTTCCTCTTTCCATTATATTTCCTTGCATGCCTTATATCTCAGAGCAGACTTGGAAACTGCTTGGCTCCATTTTAACTTAAGTATCCGGAGCTGTGCATGTCAAAATCCCAGAGATCAACAGGTCCGGTTTCCTGCAGCTTTCAGATGTGTTTCTTCTTCCACACATGAATTAAATGTCTGAATAACCTCCTCAGCATGTGGTTCAATTCTCCAGAGTCCCGCTAATGACCTGATTATTCTACTCAGCTGTGTTGAAGCAGAGACACATCTAAAAGGCACAAGACACTGGACCTTGAGGACTGGAATTGAGGAGCCCTGACCTAAAAGAAGTTTATTTAAGATGTTTTCTGTGCAGAATAGATCTGGTCCGGATAAAAGTGGATTTGGATCGCAGTTTTATTTTGGGATCTCTGATGAAAACCAGCACCGACAAAAATACAGATCATGACAAATTTAAAATTATTAAATTATAAACTATACTGGCTTA